AACAAACCACTAACTTATGGGACCTTTAAGCGCAGAATACTTGGAGGCACTGGTCACACCCGGGAGTGTGAATCCCTAGCCCTAGGTCTCTGGGAGGTGGGAGGGGTGGATGCAGGAGCATGCCAATTTCCCACCGGCTGTAGCTGGTGGACACTGGTCCAGTAGCTGTTCTATAATGAAGCAGTCTTAACTGCTTGGGAGCCATGATTTACTGAATCATGGTGTAGGGATTTTTAATTTCTGGAACCTTCTGGGTCTCACTGGCTGTATTGCCATGTGCTTCTCATTACAGCCCAACAGGGTAGAGCTCAGCAGAGAAGGCCAGGCTGGCGGGCCAGAGCAGACAAGGTGCTGCTCTGCTGCTCTGTCGGGATCTAGTCCTGGTTGTAGACAATTCTAACCCAGGGGGGTGAACTAAAGTTTCTACCACCTACAAAATAGGGTTCACCCCGTCTACCAACCAGGGGCTGGCTGCCTCGGGCCTTGTGTAAGCGTGTGAGAGACTGGGAACTCACCTAAATCTGGACTTTGAACTTTTCCTTTGTAGATTAATCATTGGGAACCCAGGTCTTTTCGAGAAAAACAATACTCTACCTAGTGAGGTTCCAGTCTAAGTTGACAAATGTCTGTCTGTATCCATGGCTTGTGTGCCCATGTCTCTGGGGTGTCACGCTCCCTCACAGCCTGCAGATCAGCACACCTCACAACAGCCAGTGGAAGTCTGAGAAAGTGACAAGCTGGGCTTCCTTTGTTTGGGAAAAGGAGATAGAGACAATTGGTTGAGCAAAAAGTAAGTCTCACCCTGCAGTCCCACCCCTCCTCATCCCTGCTTTCTTCTGAGTTCTATTTTTGAAGTCTTTACGGCACAAGTATCATGGCCAGCACTGCCCCGAGACTGGAGATGGAAAAATCCGCCTTCTCCTTCTACACAAAGAAGATTAATACGTGGCGTGTAAATGCACATTGCTGTGACAAAGGACCCTGCCAGGAAGGAAAAGTCCATCCATGTCCATGATGGGTCCTGAAGACCCCTAGGAGACTTTAGAGAGGTTCTGTTGTTCTTCTCTGGGCAGGAGCCTTCCAAATCAGATTTTCAAGTCCCTGATTGAATTCCCAGCAAATTACTCTTCCCAACTACAACCAGAAAAGCATGTTTATATAAACATGAAATTCCATCAGTGTAAAACCCTGTGCAACCCGGTTGCCAGAGCCCCTAATAACGCCCTATTGTGTTACTGTGGTGTTCTGGGTTATCATTAGACAGTCTTTGCTCCTGGTTGAGAAAACATGACGTTCCATTAACTCTACAATCTGGGCTCCCTCCAGGCCAGAGATGCATCCTGCTCAAAGCTGAAGAGAGCCGAGCTTTAATGCCACAGGAAAGCAAACTGACTATCGGAGGGGAGGAATAGCAGGGGTGGGGAGAGCAGCCGCAGACTGGGTCCCTGTGACCCACGGCCCAGCCATCAAGGGGCTCAGAAGCCCAAGGACAAACCAAGTCAGCATTCTTTCCCTTCCCACTCTGCTGTGGTCTGCTGATGCACAGCGGTATCTGGGGAGCTCCTTCCTCTCCAGGATGGAGGGCTCTGCAGGGACTACCCTGCCGCCTGTTTGCCGCGCCTGCCTGCTGGCCCATCCACCAGTTTGCCTGATTGTGGGTGTAGCTAGAGGCACACACACAGTTTAGAAGTTCTAGCAAGCTTTTCATTTAGCACACACACAAAAAAATACCCCAGAAAGACAATGATGGGAAGTCAGAGGCTAGAATTAAGTAGTGAGGGGTTGGAAATTCAGTTCAGTGGCCAGAGCCCCCTCCACACTTTTTCTTAAGAATTCAAAATTGCTGGGTGATGGTGGCGCACAGCTTTAATCCCAGTACTCAGGAGGCAGAGGCAGATGGATCTCTGTGAGTTCGAGGCCAACCTGGTCTACAGAGCTAGTTCCAGGACAGCCAGGGCTACACAAAGACACCCTATCTTAAAAAACAAAACCAAAAACAAACAAAGCATTTAAAATCACATTTTCCTGAATATAAAATTGGTATGTTTATTATAGAGAAATTGGAAATTTCAGAAGTTAAAGCTCTTATCTTCTAGAGAGGAATTCTAATCCTAACAGTAAGTCCAGACATGCACATGCAGGTGGTAGCTTGGCTTTGCTCTGTTCTGAGATGGGATCTAGTTACTTAGCCTGTTTGGCCGTGGTCTCCCAAGTCCTGGCATCATGCCTGGCCTCGCTTCTTACAAAGGTGGAATGTACACAATGTTTGGAAACATAATAGTATAAGTATTATGTATTTCTCCTAAAATATCTTGCAAACATGCACAATCCGCAAAGGCTATACAGTATATATACTCTGCATATTTCATGTCTTACTTACATCCCATTGTCAGACATTTAGGTAATTCTAGGCTTTTTACTATAAACCACACTACCATAGACACACAGTAAGGGCTCCTCTTTGACTACATTTCTTTCTTTCTTTCTCTCTTTCTTCTAAGATAAGGACGTGCTGGATGGAAAAGAAGACCCTTAGCTGTGTTAAAAGCATGCGATACTTCCTGCCAAAGCATTGTCTCACCCACACCACTCACATGGCAGCCACATGTGACAATTTAATTTAAACAAAATTAAAAGTTCACAAACTCATTTGCATGGGGACCACATACGACGAGTAGCTACTGTTCTGGACAGCAGGAGCACAGAGCACTTCTGTCCTTCTAGAAAGTTCTACATGCAGTTCAAGTCTACGAAGACCATCGATTTACACCGGCCCTAGCAAGACAAGACACAGGTGGCCGACACTGGACTCTGCAATGCTCTAAAAACCTCTGCCAACCCAATAAGCACAGTATCTTGCTTGATCTTTTTCATTTCGTTAATTGCAAGTGAAACAGAGTGGTTTTGCTTGTGCATTAACTTTCACATAAATTTTCCTTGGGAAATTATGACGTAAGGCTAATTTCATTTCTAACTAGCTTTTCCGTACTAAGATCAGGCTTCGGAGAGTAAATGAGGCTGCAGAACCTTCCCCAGCTTCCTATATTCCACTTACGCTATTTTGTCGCCCACTGAAGAGCACAGTGCTTACATAGTCAAATCTCCCTCTGTTCTTTCCCATGGCTCTGTGTCCTGTCATTCTCTATAAGACGCAACCCCGAGCTGACACAAGTCTTCTTCACCACTTGACAAAGAACATTTCTAAACACTAAAGAACTCACTGCCCACTTATTTGAAATTCCACTAAGCATTCACGGGGACTTATATAGTTTTCTATTTTGTCCACATACGTTTTGAACTTTTCTAAACTGTTTTCATTAATTTGCCTTCTAATACATTCCAATATTTTCTGAGAAATTATGTCTTCATTATTCTTTTCCAAAAATGTTTTATACCTTTTGACTTGGTTTCCCCCCAATAAAATAATCCTAAAACGATTCTACTGGATTTCTTCCACCACCACAATAAATTCGTTTATAAACTGGACCAAATGTTCAGCTCAAATTATAGAATTAGGACACCTGGTTGTGTTCACAGCACCCCACAGTCCTCTGGGAAAAGGGGGATTTGTTGTTGCTGTTGTTCATGGTTCAAATTTCCTTATGGGTTCCTTGGAACCCCGTGGTTTTTGTTTCTTTTGAGTCTCAGGTAGCCTGGGTTGGCCTCAAACTCACTATGTAGCCCAGAAGCACAGGATCATCTTGAACTCCTGGTCCCCTTGCCTCCACCTTCCTACGGCAAGGATTGCCAGCCTGAGCCACTACCACCACCACCATGAGTTTATTGGTTTCTGTGGTACTGAGGAACAAACCCAGGGTTAGGCATTCTAGGCAAGCATGCTATGAGAGGAGCCTCAGCCCTCGAGTTCTCTTCAAAGAGCACAATGCCCAGCACCTTTGGTTTCAGACAGAGTCCCAGTGTTCCCCGCACCCAGGACCTCCAGCTCCCACCTGCTAAAACGCACAAAAGATTTTCCATTTCTTAGCCTGAGCCTGAAATTTTAAGTATCCACCTTCTCGTAAATCTGTAAGATCTGTAAGAAAGAGATCTCACTTTTTATCCAAAGAATCTGGAGTTCAAAACAGCCTCTACGGAAAAACCAAGCTCCAGCAGCAACTGCGAAGCGCATTTGGTGTCCAGCGGCCAGCTTATTTTTCAGGACTCCTGTTCCAACTTCCAAATACTTTCCAGTCTGTGAAATTCATCTCCCCACCACTGCAAGCGCCTCTCCTGGCACCGGCACAAATCTAAGGAGCCCAAATCTTGAGGGACCTTTTATTGTTGCTTTTCAGCAGAGCGCAGAAGGAGTGACTGCGGCTTGGCAACCCTGCGGGGATCTGGAAAGTGTTGAACTGGTCTTAACTCAGTTCTTCCCCAAGCAAAGTCCATTTTAGTCAAGAGGCCAATCATGCTGGCCTCCCTGGCAGCCCATCAGTCAAAAAAGCCAACAGCCCAGATTTACCTACATCTCAGCTCTGGAGGCAAAGGGCATTGAGGACATCTGCCAGTATCTGAAAGCAGTTTTGGTTGATACCACTTAGGCGGAAGGGCGGCAATGTGACCGGCAGCTATCTACAGGGCAGGGGGCAGGATGGTACTCAGCCCCCTACAAGACCGTCCCTACAAAGGGCAAACTGGAATCCCAGAGGTAAAGAATCCCCGACTTGGACTCACAATAAGTGCCCAGGGTCGTCAGGCATCAAGCCAGGAGAACAAAGACTGCATTTTGGGGCCGGACATTTGCAAAAGGAGATGGCTGGCTTTGAAGAGTACTCTTGCCTCTTTGGAAGTATCCGCAAGTTCTACTTTTGGTTGCAATCGTTATCACTAAGATGGGAAGCAATCAGTCAACTGCATCCTCCCGGGACTCACAAGCTTGGGGCCAGAGACAGTAAGCAAAACAGGCAAAGCAGCCGGGACCGCGCACAGCTGGGGACCAAGTCCAGCAGGGGCGTCCTTGGGGACCACCCGCCGGAGAGCAGCATCCTCCAGACACTTACTTGTCCAGGATGAAGTAGAGGTCGAATCCCCCATAGCAAGCTGGTCCCCCGTCCTCGCGACGTCCCCCGTGTCCGGCGCACACGAGCACGAGCGCAGCCACGCAGAGTCCCCGCAGGCCCGCGCCTAGGCTCCCCGCGCGGTCCATGCTGCAGCCGGAGCGCTGGCCTCTCTTGTGTCCACAGGACCTCAGGGGCTCGCCATTCGCAGCCGGGGCTCCCGTCCGGTCCCCTGACTCCCTTGAAACGCCCGGAAGCAATTGTCCAGAAAAGTTCAAGGGTTTTGCTCTGGTTTCCGCCGGTTCTGCGCCGGGGTTTCGGATTTCAGGGACCCCAGGGCGCTCTGCAGAATGGAGCTGCTGGGCTCGGACCGTCAGGCCGCTCCCAAGCTAAGCTTCAAGCTTTGCAGTCGAAGCAGTTCCGTCCTGACGGCTCTTTGTCCTAGATTTTAAGTATGATGGGGTGGGTTTTCAAATTGTTCTTGGTTGGGGCAGTGCGGTGTCTTGCTCCCTCCCCTCTCCCCTCCTTTCTTAGTTTTTTTTTTTTTTTTTTGGAGGGTGTGGGGGAAGAAAGTAAGAAAGTCCAAAGAGTGCCACCTTGTGGCCAAGATCGGCGAATGTGTTGGGGTCCGATAGACCTTGGCTGGGGCAGGAGTGGGTGGGTAGTTTGGATGGCAGAGGATAAATCTCAGAGTTTTCAGGTAAGCTGTAAGCCTTAAATTAACCCTTTCTTTTTGTCTTGCTGGTTGCCTTCCCCACAGCCACCTCTCCACTCTCTCTAGCCTGCTTTCTTTTATTCTTCTTCTCCATCTGCGGATACACGCACTGTAAACATTGAATAGAGACTCATTTCCTTCAAGCAGGGTGGCTCCAACCTCAGGCCAGGACTTTTCAAACACGACCCTTTGTGCAAATGAAGCAGGGAAGGACAAGGCCTTTGTGATCTGGTCCATCGAGCGACCTTACATAGTGTTATTTCAGATCATAAAGAGCTCTGGTTGAACTCTGCACACACAATGCCACCAAATGAGAGGCTTGCCTTGAGGCTGCCGCGGGTGGACTTGAAACCGCCAGCTGGGGCCTCTAGATTGTCTGGGCCTCCATGGTTCAGGAAGTACATGATAACAGACAGGTCTTCCTTTCTACCTGTGAACTTCGTTATCCCTCCCCGTCTTTGATGATGCGCTAAGGAAATAGCTGTCAAGGCTGTCAACAGTTCTAGCCATTAGGTGCTGTTCTCAAGCCTTGTGCTTGTCTTTCTAGACTGCAGGGTCTTTCTTAGTTGGAGTCCCAGTTCCCACAGGACACAAGGTCTAGCTTCCGCACCACTCTGGAAGTCGCCACTCTTGTCCCGGCTTCAGGGCTCTTCCAAATAATCACAGTTTTTGTCCTCCACTCAAGGGCCTCTGAGACCTCTACTCCCCACCATGACCATCCAGGTACTTTTCCTCCAAAGCATATTCCAGTATCTCAGAATGCTTTATTAATTGTTGATTGCATTTTCAGAGAAGCACACTCTTAGCGGATCACAGTAGCTCCTCTCTGAAGTGATCTCCAGAGCAGCCCAGCCTCTGTTCGCACACCTCCCACACAGAGGAATGTCTAAGGAACTTATTTGATAGTGCAGATGTGTTGGTGTCTGCTTTTCAAGGCATAAATGTAAGATTTGTGGCTTCCCCATTCTTGGGTCACTTACTCTGCGGAGACTCAGTGACCATGATGGTTATTCCTGGTTGTCAACTTGACTATATCTGGACTGAATTACAATCCAGACATGAAGGGCATGCCTGTGATCCAGATCTTGAGGCGGGAAGACAAAAAACCTTTAATCCAGATTGTCAGGCTGCAAGACGTCCAAATCTGGCCTGCACTTTCTGCTAGAAGCCTGTGGACAATGGAAGAAGGAAGAGTTCGCTCTTACCCTCGCCCTGTCCACACACCCATTCCTTAACTAGCGTTGGAACCTACTTCTTCGGGACTCCGGCATATACAGAAGACCAGCTGGGACCCCCAGCCTCGTGGGGTTGAGCAGCTACTGGATTCTTGGACTTTACATTCGCAGCTAGCCATTGTTGGATTACTTGGACTGCAGCCCGTAAGTCATTCCAATAAGTTCCATATCTATATATGGGCAGAGAGTGCGTGAGAGTCATTCATTCATTCCTCAAGGTCTCCGTGACTCTAAAGAACCCTGACTAATACAGTGGTCTATTATGAGAAACCCCAGCCCCCAGCATCTCCACCCCATGTGGCTGATGTTGCCATCCACGCTGATAGCCAACATCAGTCACCAGCCTGGTGGCCTGGGAGCCGATTCTCCAGGGCCTGCCAAGCCTTTGGGTGACTGAGGCCTCTGAGACCCAAGCTAGCACCTAACCTGCCCCCCCTCACCCCGACTCCTGACCCATGGAAGCAGAAGGCAGTGTTTGCCTGTGTTCTCTGCTGCTAACTTTGGGGACAGTTTGCTAGGCAATAACAGGAAACTAGCAAAGCCTGCTGTTACTTTAACCCTGGGAGAACTTCTCTAGGACGAAAGTGATTGGCAGCTTCCCAGGCTTGCTTGTCTGCGAGGCTGTGTGCAGGTAACACCTGCTGGCACCCACATTTGGGGAATTACTGTTGGCAAGAAAATAAATAATTAAGGGAAGCAAAAATACTCTTAACTGGTCTAAGTGTGCGTTTTCGGTATTTTCGCCTCAAAAGAGGAAAACCCATCCTGGTCCCACCAAGTTCTGTGATAAAGAAATAGGGAGGGGAAATCTGCAGAGACCAGCTGTGCCACTGAAGACTAGAAAACCAGGGGGCTCTGGTTCAGGAAGAGAAGGAACTTGAGGGCAATGTAATAAAGAATGTGTTTGTGAGATTGGCAGGGAAAAAAAACTTGAATGTCCCTGCAGGGCACGGAGGGAAAGGAGGAACCATGAAGGTTTTAGGAACATCTTCTCTCATCTGCCTGCCCTCTAAATCCAATGAGCTTTTTAAGCCTGGGGTGGCAGAGGAAGGCCTTGAGAATATTACGGGAGAATGGCTTAGGAAGTCATCCCAAGAGGGCACACTGGGTCACTGATAGAGCCTCTCTAAAGTCAAAGACACCATCACAGAGAACAGACTCCAGAGCAGGAGGAGGGCCCATGTTTCCAGAGGAGCAGGGATAGAAGAGTGTGCTCCCCAGTCCCAGGATAAATCTGGCCCTCAAGAAGGCAGTGATGTGGCTGGAGTCATCCGGGCATTAGAGTGTACCAGTTGCCCTTGCCTTTCTTCCAGGATTTGCAAAGATGACCATCTCCATCTTGAAACCGCCTCAGCCACTGCAGCTCCTTTCTTTCCCTTCCTCCTCCTCCTTCCCCAGTTATGCAGGTAGAGTCAGTGTATGAAGGAATCTAGACAGTACCGTATGCTGTGGAAATCAGGAGAATAAGCCCTGGGGACCCCATTTCCTGACAAGTGTCAGTTTCACTAAAGAGTGTTCCAGGGGAGAACAGTGGAGGGATGGAGCCTGTGCTCTGTCCTTAAAGGGAGCACCTTCCTTCCCAAGAGGCAAGAGAAAGAGGTAGTTTGTAGCTATTCAGATTTTTATCTTCAATAGGAAAAGTACCAAGATATTTAAGGATTCCATAAATATCAAACTCTTTGTCTTTCCAGAGATAAGAGAATTTGCCACCAGACTGACATGCCACGGCTTCAGTGTGGCACAGCAATCGCCAAACCAGAAGGGGCTGAGTTTCCTCCACAGAGACAGTAGCTATTAAATATGGCATACCTACCTGTCAGCTTCCTCAGACTCACTCTCTAGTTGACACCTCCTTCCCATGGTCTAGGTCCTTCAGTAAAGCCTGAGACACCTGCTAGGTGCTGTATCACACTATCACACTGCCATAGATGGATGCCACTGGGCACCCAAGTGCTCCTTGGGCTATTGGCAAAGGCTCCAAAAAAGGCTCCAGAGAGTGCAGTCCCAATAAAACTTAAGCTGTTTCCCTAATAAACAGTGGATGACAATATGGACAAATCTGATATAGTCCAGTACATTTCATGTCAGTTTGCGTAAACCCACTATTTGTAGGGGCTTGGATGTCTCGCTGGTCGCCAGGACCACACACCATGTGTAAAAAGGTCAGGAGACTCTTTACCAGAAGCAGTTTCTCTTGAACAACAGAATTTCTGAAGAACCTGAGCCACATTGGCTTTGGTGATTTGATAAACAAAAGTGCCAGCCATCAAAGCGAAGCCCAGGCACGGAAGCAGCCTACAGGAAGAGGTCCTAGGGGGATCCAGAGGCCAGGCAACATGCAACTTCAGCCCACAAATGGCCAGAGCTGTTCAACTCAGGAACATTAATACTCCAGCCAAAGCCAAGCTGAGTCTAGCTTCAAGCAGGTTCAGTAGAAAATAGCTCTTGATTCATTCCAAAGCCCCAGTCCAAAGCCCTGCTAACAACCCTTGCCATGAAGGGACGAAATCCACTCAAGATGGAATGTGACCCAACACGGACTGACCCAGATCCCTCCAAAAACTAAGCTCATTTTGTAGCTGGACCAGTGATCAGCCCAAGACAGATCTTATTGAATCTGATCCATGAGCTGGCTCTGCTAGGGCCACACACCATCTATATTAGACACTTCTCTCACCATTGGGACAAAATGTCAGAAGCGGGGGTGGGGTGGGGGGCTTTAAATAGAAAGGAATACAGTCTCCAACAGTGTCAAAAATTTGAAGCAGCTGGTCACATTGCATCTATAGTCTGGAAGCAGGGGCCCCAGCTTGTGGGGTGGTCTCACCCAGTCAGGGTGGGACCTCCTACTTCAAATGACCTAATATAAAACTCCTTCACACATAGGCTGGAAGGTTTAGCTACCAGGTACTTCTCTCACACTGATGGTCATTATAAACCCAGCCTTTTGAAGAACTCATTCTCCGGTCCTTGCTGAAAAAAAAAAAAAAAAAAAAAAAAGAATAGTTCATATCCTGTAGAGCAGAGTCTAGGCCAACTAAATTCAAAATTCAAATGTTGACATGGGCCGCCCAGTACAGCACAGGGTCCTGACAGGCCTGGAACTTACAAACGATGGAGAGCTATCTTAGATAAGCTGAAGCCAACACAAAGCTAATCCCAAACCAGGCCAGTTCAGTGCCAATTCTGCTCAAGTCTGGCATATTTAAGGGTCTTACTCACAGATTCCAGACCAAGTCACACTGATGAGAGAGCAGGGAAAAATCTTTCCAGGCCTGTCAAGCTCATAATCGTTCTGATCCTTCTGATGGCTGCTGTTGTGAGGTCCCTATCAGAGAACACTACCTGGACATAGGGTCAAGCCAATAGAAAGTCTTTATTAGTCAGTTTGTGACTACACTGGGCACTCAGGACCCCACTGGAGCTCAGAGCCCTTCTCAAGGTGAGCTTTTAAGCACAGAAGCCACAACCTGGGTCGACACACCTCATTTAGCAAGAACAGTTAGCCCAAAGTAGAGCTATAGAAGCCAAAGAACAAGGGAAGTACCTTAGAGAATTTCGCAGGACTATAAACTTTGATAAATTAGATCTTTGTCCTTGCTTTGGAAGGTGTTGCTGACTATGTGCTGG